TGTTTGAGTTAAGTGATTTTTTTTGTTATTCTTGTAGACAACTGGCTTATGCACCAAAAGATGTAGAACAGCATCACTGGCCTCTGACCACTAGGTGCTAGAGGCACTTCCTCAGTGTGACAACCTCAAATGTGCCCAGAAGCTCTCAATTAGGACAAACTGTCCCAGGTTGTGTATCATTGATGAATAGTTAAGAAGTGGTGGATGGTGATTATTTAGCCTATGCTTAAAAAAGTATAAATGTCTATTTGTCTATACTCTGTCTTGCCATTCTTTGGCATGTGATATATCTTTAAGTATGGTGGCATTTATGTTTATTAAATCTACTTTATATAATTCTAACTTATTTTCTTTTATTTCTTTATTGAACTATAGCACAAATTTCTCTTATTTTCCCCATCTACTACATAGAAAAATATCTACCAGCTTTTCAAAAGTCACCTCTCCCTAGAACTTTTATTATTCTCCTTCTATATAGGAAGTCTCAGAACAAAAAACCAACATGAATAGAAAGTCAGGTAAAAAAATTAATTTTTGAGGAAGATGAATTTTATCTTACACATGTATAGTCCTAAGTGATAGACAACCTAAGTGATATAGCCAGCAAAAATCTGAAAAGAGGTCGGGGCAGACCAGGACAAGAACTGAAATTGCACAGTAGTAGAGTTCTCTGAAAAATTTAAGAGTACTGAAGAATTAAATGTTAACATAGAACCATGGATATGAAGCTCGCAATAAGAGACAAGTGTATTTATTGACTAAAATAATTAAAGCTTTTAGTTGAATAATACAGAGTAAATGACAACTGTACCACTCGGGTGTTAATGAAACTCCAAACAGAAGAAGAAAAATGAAAGGAAGAATGAAAAAAAGAAACTATTTGTTAGTTGTATACTCCAAGAGATCATTGTGAGACTTGGTGGAAAGGGAAGGTGTATGGGCCATTCAGAATTGATCAAAGATTTGTAGTTACCAGAAGAAAATGCAAGAGAACTGCTTCAGGCCATTGGTATGGGCAAAGGTCTGTTGGATACAAAACAGCCTCCAAAGCCTCATGTGTTTGGAAGGTAAACAGATTATGGGGACATATACAGCTGACTTGCTGTTAGGAGGTGGGTTTCTGGTCAGAAGATGGGGGTAACTGAGAACATGACTAGACAGGTGATTCCTTCCTGACTCTTCATTATCTCTACACATCCTGGCTACCATAAAAGGAAAGAGTTTTTCTTCTAACATGTTTTTCTCCTACCTCTGTCATGCAGTTCTGCTTTGCAGCTAGTCAACTATGGACTAAAACTGAACCAAAATAAGCCTCTCCTTTAAATTACGGGTGTCAGGGATAGTGTCTCAATGATGAAAAAGTGTCTAAGACAGTTTTGATACTAAAAACAGACAACAAAAGTCAAAATAGATAAATGGGAGTGTTACGGTTTATGTCTAGTTGTCCCCCCAGTGTCTCATGCAGTCATAGTGTGGCTTCTAGAGTTTGTGATTAATTCCCGATCCAATGTGGCATTATGGGTGTCAGAGAAGATAATCTACACACAAACGTAAGGAGAAGAGTGAGGCTTGATAGATGCTTCAGCTGCTGCTCCTCCCTTTGCCTTTCACTGTTTTCTGCTTCCATGAATGGCTGCCCTCTTCCATATGCTACTCTGCTTTGGAGCCAGTTGAGTATGGACTGAAACCTTCACTAACTATGAGATAAATAAACCTTTCCTTCCTTAAGTTTGGGTGTCGGATATTTTGTCCCAGCAATGAGAGAAAAGTAACTGAGACAGGAAGTACACCAAACTAGAAAGCATCTGTATGATAAAGATAGATAACAATCAAGGGTGAAGGCAATCTACAAATAGGAGAAAATATTTGTAAACAATAAATTTGGCAAATGATTAAAATTCTAGAACGCATAAAAACTTTAGCCAACTCTAAAAACAAGTAATTTAATTAAAAGATGAAGAAAACACTTGAACAATAATTCTCAAGAGGATATATAAATATTCCCCAGGAATATAAAAAAATGCTCAGGTATTACTAATCATTAAGGAAATGTAGGTCAAAACCACAATAATATATAATTGCATTCTAGAGAGTCAAAAAGAAAACGTAACAAATACTGGTGATGATGCAGAGAAAGACGAATTCATATACTTTTGGTTGAAATGTAAATTAGAAGTTGTTATGGAAAACAATGAGGAACTTCCTCAGAAGACTAAAAATAGGACTGCAACATGATCCAGAAAATTTACTACTGAGTATATATCCAATGAAATAGAGATCAGTATGTCAAAGAGATATATCACTTGCAAGTTTATCGAAGCCGTATTCACAATAGCAAAGATATGGAATCAGCCTACATGTCTACTGCAGGACGAATAAAGAAAATATACATAAATACAACAGAGTGTCATTTGGCCAGAAAAAGGAATGAAATTCTACCATTTTAGCAACATGAATGGAACTGGAAGCAACATAAGTCAAGCACAGAAAGATAGATTTCACCTGTTCACACTCACATGTAAAAGTTAGAAGTATGATCTCAAGGAAATAGAGAATAGTTACCAAATCCTGGAAAGTGTGTTGGGAGGGTGTGGTTAATAGATGGCTGTAGGTGGGCAGCAGGAATAACTGCTAATGCTCTAGAGCACAGTAGAATAACTATGGTTGACAACAATTAGATATTTCAAAATGGCACATAAAGAGGATTTTGAATGTTCCCTACAAAAAAAATGGGATCTGTCTGAGGTGACAGATATGCTAATTACCTAATCTGATCTTTTTACATTGTACAAATGCATTGAAAATGTCATACCCTAAAAATATGTATAATTATTATATGGCAATTAAGAAATTAAAAAAGTGGGTGAGCATGCGGGTTTGGAGTGAAGTGTAAGAGGTAGGAGAGGACACTTGTTAACTTTCCAGACTTGAAATACACGTGAATTTTAATGTATCTTCTTTGGCTGTGATTTTATGATCGTAGCCAAGTGAGGCACAACCACTCCTTAATAGCATAGTTGTTGGAGTAAGAAGAAACATGTGCCCAACAGTATAGAGAATGGCAATCCTTGTCCTACTACTACGGCAAAAGTGTGCCTCATTTTTGTGGAAGTGGGAAGTAGAGATGAAAGGACTTGACTGCCATATGTTTAGAAAAGCATCAACAGCAAAATGGCAAGTGTTATCTAATTATTGTTCCCCAAAAGTAGTGAACTCCTCTCAAAACTAAATTAAATCTTTCGTAGAATATGCTTAGCATATAGTTGACTTATATCCAAGAATTACAGAGTGGGTCAAATTATTCAGTTCCTTGCAAATATAAGTAAAAACTAACCCAATTTGCAAGGTTCATAAGGAAATCTCATGGCTCAAAATTAGGCATTAGTTGGGGCTTTTACTAGTTTCTGTCGCCACACGAACCCTAAGTAATGCTTCCTTTAAGCATTTTTCACATTAAATGTTACGCTATATTCCAAGACACGGATAACTACAGGCTGTGCCCCTTTCCTTTCAATCACACCCTTCCTAGCCAGTTTATATTCTTCTCCCTAATCTCTCTGGAAATATCATGGGCAGGTAGTCACTAGTCTCCTGATAGAGAAAGCAAGGGAGAATATCATTACACTTTTACATTCTTACCTAAAATATCCCTCTGAAACAACTAACTTCTCTCTGACAGTCACTGTCAGTATCGGTTACAAGAGATGAAGAAACATAACCAGGGCCAAATATCTCCTCCAGTGAACAGGTAGTGCTTCTTAATTCTACAGTAGCTATCTTGCAAGATCAGAGGCACTTGGGAAAGAAGCCGTCAAATACCTAGGAGTTTCAGACGGAAAGTCCCTCTACTAGCTCCTGAAGACTTTGCAGGGGACTTGGCAGCATAATAACCTGAAGTGGCCAAGCTGCACAGTGCTTATCAGCAGCCCTCACGTTGTTGCCCAGACCAAAGCAGAAACGGGGTGCCCGCGCCAGCCACCCTCCCCGCTTTCGGAGCGCCTCGCTCCCCAGAAGGAACCTGACCCCAAAGCTCGAAACCAACAGAACGAAGACCAGCGGAGTGGACTTTATCTGTCGGATTTCCACTGGGCGCGAAATTGCCCTCGAAAGATAGGAAAGGGGAAGACTAGGTTCCCACCAATGCCAGGAGAGGACGTTCTGACACGCCCCCTCCCTTAATCTACCAATCAGCATCCAGCTCTAAGGGTCCCTTAGCCATTGACTCAGGGAGCCTACCTCTTAAATTTCATTAGCACTACTTTATTGTATCCACCGTCTTTCAAAGTCAAATTTCACGAACTGTGATCAAAGACAAAAACTGAGTGTGACAGTTCCAAAGCTGGCCAGTCTCTCCGTGAGAAGAGAAATTATAGAATTCTATATCAAACTGTAGATTCCAGGGCGGACTGCTACAAGGAAAGTAGGGTTCCAGAAAGAAAACTACAACTCCCAAGGGCTCTTGCGCGGACCCGGCGCCCGCAGAGCGAGGGGCTGGGCTATTGGAGGGCGGAAGGCCATCTTGAATTGGCGCCAGTAAGTGGGCGGGACCTGGGTGGGCGGAGTCGGCCGCGCTGGTTTTAGAGCTTTGTGTCCTCCTGGCTCGCGCTGCGGGGCCCCGGACGTCGGAGGGGGCGTGGCCCGCGCGGAGGCTGGTGGGGGTGCGCGCGCCGCGGGACGTGGGTGACGCGTCTCCTTCCAGCTCAGCGGTGTGTGAGGTGTCGCGGCCCCGCCAGCGATTGGCTGATGGAAGGAGAGTGCGCGGCTGCCGTTGGTCGCCTGCAGCTCCGAGCGAAGGCCGGGGAGGGCTGAGGGGATATGGGGCGGCAGCGGCGGCGGCGGCAGCTGGAGGAGGCGGGCGCGGGCGCGGGCGGGCAGGCGGCGGCGATTCCCGGAGTCTCCGTGTGAAGCGCCCGTGGGGCCCTCGGAGAGCGCGTGCGGGACGCGAGCCGCCGCGGAGCCGCTCCCCAAGCGCCGCAGCCCTCCGGACGCTCGGTCCCATCCTCGCGCTCCCGCTCCGGCTCCTCCATCTTGGCCTCGGCAGTGTCGGCTGCCGGGAGGATGTGCCGCCTCCTGGCAGGGGCAAGAAGGAGGAGAAGATGAAGAAGTACCGGCGGGCCTTGGCCCTGGTCTCCTGCCTCTCTCTGTGCTCTCTGGTCTGGTGAGTGGCCGCGGCCGCCGGAGTCTCGGCGGGCTCGGGAGGGACTGGGCGCCGCTCGGGTCACACCCCCAAGCGGGTTTCCAGGTGCGGGTCTCCCAGGCCCCGAGGGAGGCACCAGCGGATTTCCCCGCACGCTCGTCCTCGGCAGCCCTCTGCGCAGAGGTTTCCACGGCGGAGCTGGAATTTGCGGAGCCTGCGTGGGGGAAAAGGATGTGGAGGGGACCTCCGGGCGCCTTTCCTCCCGCCCCGGCGGGCAGGAGCTGAGCGCCGAGGTTCGCTCTCCTGGTGTGGGGCGGGTGTGAAGCGCGTCAGGTGTGATGTGTACTGGACACGCGATTTTGAGAGCGTGAGTCGTCGTGAGGGTGAGATTAATGTATAAGCAGTTGTTTTCCTGGACATTTCTTGCACAATGTTTGGCCCCGAGTACACTTGGGACTGTTGTTTGGGAACTTTGGGGACACTTTTTCAGTTGGCTTGGTGAAGAGGGGTCTTAGATGTGGTGTGCACAGTAGTTTTTGTTAGTGCCTCTGGACAGAGGGAACGTGAGTACTCTCTTTTACAAGAGGGAAGGGTGCTTTGTTTCTGAAGCTACATGAAGTTTCAGTCAACCTGAAATCTGTTTGGGGCTTTTTGAGAGGAGAGATCTTGTTAATCAAAGAATTTTTATCTGTGTGCTTAGAAAAGCCATACTTTCTCTTCTGAAGAAATTCTCCCAGGGAGTTTATACAGAGATGTGTGATATTTGCTAAGAAGATACTTAATCAGTTGACGAAATTTGCTGTCTCTTACATTAAAATTCAAAGTAGTTTCCTCTTTAACTTATTTCTACAGTGCACAACAGTATTCACTTGTATGGATGCCAGCCTAATTTGGTCCAAAGGCACTGAAGTTGTGGAGTTGTTCACATACAATAATACATTAAAAGGGGGAAAACACTTATGTCTGTCTACCTGAGGAAGATGGGAAGGATGATAAAAGTTTGAGAAAGCAAAAAGTGACCTCTTGTCATACAGTTTGAATCCCTTAAATAACACCATTGTCCTGTTTTTCTACATCTTGTTATGTTGAATACCAAGATGTGCCTATAAGAGCTGAATCTACTCAAACCATTCTAACATTATATTTGTGGGTCAGAAACTGAAATCTTGTATTCATTTCCACCTTACTTGTTGTACATTATGTATTTTCTTTTTTCTCTTTTGCTCATATATAGACCATGTTATTCTTTTTTAGCACTTTTTGAAATGGCTGATAGGGCAAAAGTTATTTGAATTTTCATTCAAATCTAAATTCTGATTTAGATGCTGATTTTCTTTTCTCATCAGATTTTTAAAAAATTAGTGGAAATGAAATTAAGCATTAAAGATGATTCTTAAAATTATTTGTAAATTTAAGGTGATGATGCATTTTTTGGGGGGAGAATCTGTCTACAACTACCTTGAATATATATTTTCAGCTTTATTTATTAACAGTAATGAGATTATGATCTCCCTGTTCGGGACAAAATATCACCCTAGTATTGAAATTGATATGCATAAAGTTCTTCAAAGTGTTTTTTTTTTTTTTGACTCCTGAAGTGAAAAACATTTAGGAATGGTTTAAGAAGAGTGAAAAGTTAAAGAAACTTGAGCTTAACATGCAGCTGTGTTTTACTATACTATCAGCTTTATTTGGACTGTTAGACTTAAAGACATCTTATTCTTAAAGCTATTAAAGAGGTGTTACAGGTAATAAGATGTTCAGAGAAGGGTGTTGATAAATGAAGTTGGGGAAAGTTGAAGTTACAGTTTAACATTGGTATAAATTAAGGTCTAACTTTTGTTATAGTCTAATCTGGTCTGTAATTTCCCAATATTCCTGTCCTATGTCCTTAATAGAAAGTAGTAACATTGTAAGTCACTGTAGGGTTAGACAAAAGGTTTACAGAAGACTTAGGAACTCCCCTTACTAGTCGTTTTTGTTTTTGCAATTTAGAAATTGTTCCAAATTTTGTGATCCATTCTCTCTGGTAGATTGAGTGCTATGTTTAGTTATACTACAATATTCTAGTTTCCAAGATTCTCCCTCTTATCCAATATTGGTAAATTTTATCACCACTGTATTTATACTGTTGGAATTTTACAAAACTTGTTTATATCTACCCTATATATTTTATCTTTCTGGCATAGAGTACTGACCTTAAGTTATCTTCACAGACTATCATCCTCTCATTGATTCTGGTTACTGTTTTTTCTTTTGCACACTTTGTGATTTTTAATTAAGTAGTATAGAGTATATTCTAACTAATACTTGTCATCTCTGTGTCTAGCATGTGGAGTGTACTTTACATATTGTAGTATTTTGTACCCTAACAATCCTGTAGGTTAGGTATTAACTTCATTTTGTACTTTACAAATGAGTAAGTAGAGAGGTTAAGTAACTTGACAAAGGTGAAATATCTGTTAAGTTTTAGAGTTTAGGTTTGAACCTAAGTAGCCTTTTTCATAGGACAGGTTCTTGTCTACTGGGATCTTTTGACTGTGAGATCAGAAGTCCTATATTATATATACGGTGCTTACTAGATAAGTGTCCCTGGCATGTTACATAACTCCTTTGAACTTTCTTATATTCTCCAAATGGTAAAACTGATCCATTTCTACCAAAGGACAGTTAAAAGAAAGTGAGATAGCCTTACATGATCTTTGTAAAACAGAAGAATATATTGTGTATATATTTAATTATAAAATTATTCAAAGATTTTTCTTAAGTTTGCTGTGTACCAGATGTTTGAGCATTGTAAACCAAAAGCTAGTTTGAACAGGTCATGTTGTAGTGCTGAAAGTTCCATATTCCAGGAATCCTCTGTATTATTTTTCTATTACTACTGTAATAAAGTGTCACAAATTTAGTGTTGTAAAACAGGATTATTATCTCACAGTTTCAGATATCAGAATTCCAGAATCAGTCTCACCAATCTAAAGTGGAGATGTGAACAAGGTACAGTAGTTCATTCTGGAGCCCCAAGAATTCATTACTTTGACTTTTTTTTAACTTCAAGAGACTGCCTGCATTCTGTGTCACTTTCTGTACATTAACCTCTTGGTTTAGTTTTTACATCTAATGATTGATCCTTCTGCCTTTCCCTCCCTCTTATAAGGACTCTTGTCGTTATCTGGTCCATCTAAACAGTCTAAATTTTTCTCCTCCGAAGACTTTATTTAAAGAAATCTGCAGTTTCTTTTGCCATGTTAAGTTCATGAACCAGAATGTAGTGTCTGACCATTATTCAGTTTATCTGGACTCTCAGTCCTAGGCAAACAGAAGGTTGATCGTGGTTCTCAATAGTATAGACTTGATCCATACCTGAATCATTTGATAGTCTGACTGTGACCCATTGTTATGCCTTATGTCTAGATGTCTTACCAAAGCCTCATGCAGTCATAGGTGGGACTTTTTCGGAGGTGGCTAAATATAATGTGTGATTAATTAATGGTGTAGGGTGGGGGAGATAGCTCAGTGGTCTAAGAGCCAGCCTGGCAAGAGCAAGGACCCAGGTTTAATCCCTGGTACCACATACTGTGCAAGTCCAAGCTGCATAGTGAGACCCTGAACCAAATAAAAAAAGAAATTCATGGTATAGAAGGATTAAGGCTGCTGGGATTAAGGGTTGATGATTACTAAATCAGTCCCGTTACGTTTGGCATTGTCGCAGTCTGGGTATCCTGGATAAGATAAAGGGTAGAAAGATGCTGTAAATGCTCCCCTTGTTGCTTTGTTGCCTTCTGCCATCCATGAACTGTTTCTCCTTTGTGAGGCATGTCTCCTGGGGCTAACCTACCTTGGAGCCAGTGGATGATGGACTGAAACCCCTACAAACTATAGCCAAATAAACCCTTTCTTTTTTAACTTTGAGTGTTGGGTATTTAATTTTAGCAATGAGAGAAAAGTAACTAAGACACCATAATTAGTGAATGCTAAGTATGTATCCTTATATTAATCTCAGTACCAATTTATTTTTAGATTAAACGAATCTACCCTAAAGGATCATCTTCAGAAAACTCATAATTGGATTAATGAATGGAAAGAGCCTCATTTAAACAATTCTCACACACTGGACAAGTATAATAGATATACTTACAGAGTACTTTAGGAACACTAACACAAGAATTTTTATTCTAGCTATGTTCTATCACAAATTGTATGCCCCAGGGCAAGTTATTTCTGTGACCCTTGGCTCCCATACATAGTTTTCAGAATGGATAATTTAAGATGTGAGAATTTTGCTTTACATGGAGGGAACATTCCTGTTATCATGTTGTCTGAAGTATAGAGTAGATGTGTGGAAAGATGGAAAGGGGAGTTAGAGCTAGGTTTTAAAGGATTTGATTATGCAGATGAACTCTGATTCTAATGTGGCAGAGAATGTGCAAGTGAAGTAGAGGTAATTTAATGTAGGAGATCAATAAAGTAAGTCACATTGATTCTTTAGGTAGATCACTATGGAAGATAAAATAGATTGGAAAATTTTGGAGGTAAGGGTGGTGGTTATGCAAGGGAAGATTTAACAAGTCTAAATTAAGGTGTTGACCTTAAAAGTATATCAGCCCAATTTTCAGTGACTGAAGGGGTTTATTTCTTGGTTTGTGATTCTATTTTTGCACACTTTAGTTTACTTTTTCTGAATGTTTCTTGTTGTTAACATGTGTGAATTGAAAAACTAGAACTGCTTTTTTTTTTTTAGATGATGAGTAGAAAAATGTAAAACTCCTGTCTTGTCATATGGAAAATTTTTTCTGCTGTTTTTTTTGTTCGTTCTTTTTTTTTTTTTTTTTTTTTTTTTTTTGTACTTTCCATTGCTCATTTCCATTTTTGGATCTGAATTTCATAGACTGATGCTGAGCTATATCTCTGACCCTCTGTCTCATTTTTTAAAGATTGAACTTCTTTCTGAATAAAAGCATATTCAAAATAATAAAATATACCCTTTTTAGTTCATCTCTTGCCTTTTTTGAAAATAGCCT